ATGGTGTGGTATGATTTTTATTTTTACACAGAAAATGTGCAATGAACTTTAAGGCAAAAGGAGAGATGTGTTGTACCAGGTTGTAAAGCAGCAGTGCTAATTTACACCTGTAGTCCCTGAGCAGGTTGTTGTAAACAGTAAAACAAAGTAAATGGATACATGAGCATGCATTAATCAAGCAGAAATTACAATTTGATTTACCATACAAGTAAAATAAAACCACCCAGCCCCTATTCATCACCATCTCTCCAAACATACAATACAAACAGATGGACGGACGGACCAACAGACCGATTTCTCTTCTTTGGTCATTAGGAACATTAGATCTAAGTTCATGGGTTTTCAAAGATCACACCTTTTTTAGTTTTTTTTTTTATAATTCCTGACTGAAGGGGTTTAGATCCAAAGATGACACATTATATAAATTCTCATATACCAACGGTTGTACCATGCAGCACAAAACTTAAACTTCAACAATCAAATTATATAATTTCACTTTTGCATCCTCAGACATTTCGGTGGATCCAACCCAGACCTAACCCTGAGACATTAGTTTGCATAATATGACCCACTATGTGAAAAACCCAGCTGAAACAAACACAAACCCCACTTATACTTTTGACCTTCTGCTTTGCTTTACTCGTGTGTTTTTTTTTGCCTGTTTCAGCAGATTGGGTTAACCGACTTTTATACCAGCTTTTATCGTCAGCGTTTTAAACACAATAGTGATGGCATAGTTATTTTCAAAGCCAACCGCTCTCTCTTGGCAGTCCTTCCATGTAGTGAGGTGACGGGGGAGAAAGCCCTGTGAGAAAAGACCATTTTTGCAAAGACTAAATTGAGACTAAAAATAAAGATTTCACCACAAGAAGAGAACCCCGACCCTACCCACGTCAAACGCTGCAGGCCCAGACACAGAGGGCCCAGCTCTGTTCTGTGTGTTTATCCACCTGACGCTTTCTGGCTCGTTCTTCACCGATTCTCTGCTCTTTCTCTCTCCGCAAAACATCTGGAACCAGGCTAATCCAAGTGAAAGCAGAGAAAAAACTAGAGGGTTTGGAGTTGAGGTCGTGAGCACCTTCTTCCAGATCGTGCTGTAATTTATCTCAGAAGGAAACTGGAAATGTTTGGCTCTCAAATACAGACACGTTTGCAGTCTCTCGTGGTGATATATGATCAAAATATCTCACTACACCTCAGTGAGACGAGCGTTAGTGGTTTTGCGCTTTCGTCTTTGCGTAGAGTTGTGTCCTTTGGCAAGAGGTTTTGTGTTGAAAGTTAAATGTGTGTTCCAGCTATAAAGCAGACTGATGTTATGGCATTTTTTATTGGTTGAAATAAAAAGGCATTATGTAATATCTAACAAAGAGGGTGCCACGTCTTTTGTCTGGAATTGTTTTTGCTTTGCTGCTTAAGTTCCACAGAATGGTCATGGAGTTGGTGGACTGAAACTCTATCTATAAGAAAGAAATCAAGTTGCAAATCAGTTCCATGGAGCGGATAAGAATGTTTGTGTTTGTGTTGTGTAAAGATAAGTTTCTTACTTTTCAAGACACAACAGAATTGTAATGGCTATGTAATAAAGGCTACAGAACTAGTTATTCGCTCTCATAACAGCTTGGTTCTGTTAAAAGTTTATACTTTTTATCAAGTTTTTATCAAATGAAAATATAAAAATGGCTGAGTCAGGTTGGTCTTCTAATCAGCTCTCATTCCACAGCGTGAATTAGACTCTTCTTGTTGGAACGGCACTGTGGCTGAGTGGTTAGCGCTCTCGTTTCTCAGCAAGATCTGCGTTTCGAAATCCCTTACCCAGGGCCTTTCTGAGTGGAATTTGCATGTTCTCCCCGTGTCTACAATGAGCCAAAGAATCTGGAGAACAACTGCTGAGCAACAACATCTGTATATGTGTCCTGTACCGTGGCCTGAGACGCAATGAAGGATGGGTCAAATGCAGAAGACAAATTTCCTCATGGAGACAATAGAGAAAATCGTCATCTTCTATCTTCTACAAAAAAATGTGCTTTGTTTTGTTTTTTGGGTTGCCCAGCTTTAAAGTAGCAATAAGTAAGATTTTCATGTCAAGTCATCATTAAATGGCCCTAATATGTCGAAAGGCATAAACTTGATGGCTTTGTGAAAAAGGTGTTTGTTATAGATTTTTTCTTTTATGGTCCCAGCTGCATTCATCTGCATATCTGGCAACCTGAGTTAGGGAGAGTGGGAGAGGGTTGCAGTACCACTTTTGGCCAGATTTTTACATACTGCTCCTTTAATATGTTTTACTAATTGGACAATTCTACGTCTCCATGGTTCAAGAATAATTTTTTCAATCTTTTGTTGTTGTTTTCTTCTATTTGAACCATATAGAAAGCTAATCCGTAAAAAAACTGAACAGGAAATTCGTCACCAGTCGATTACCACGAGCAGATAAACAGCAGCTGGAATCCGACAACACGCTGATCCCTATAACTGCTTCATTTACCACCTCTCACTCGCTCCTTAAACACGGTCTCAGCGGCGTCCTGGTCGCGGCAGAGCTCACGCAGAGGCCGCTAATTCCTTCTCTCGCTGCTTCTGGAACTAAAGCCTCCGTTTTTGATTGTTCCACAGAGATGACGCGTGGCTGTCTGGCTCACTGCGGATCAAAGCGCTGCCTCTTGCACCACAGACACTCTGTTTTTGAAGAGGCCTAATTACAGCCTGCATTACATAGGAGTGTGTGTGTGTCTGTGTGTGTGTTGTTTACATCCTCTGCTCTCCTCTTATCTCTTGTCGCTTTGAACCATCCTGATAAACATGAAGGAGTTTAAGTTGTTTAGGAATCTAGCAGTTAAAAAGCTGATTTATTAATGGAAATGCATGAATGAATGGAGGAATGGAGGGATGGATGGATGGATGAGTGATGCCTTTGTTGCCCCTGGGGGAATATTCCAAGCCGATGAGAGCATTTTATAAGCGTGACAACGTGCTACACAAGGAACAGACTACACAAGGAAGATTAAGAGATCCTTTATTTGTCCCACAGTGGGGAAATGTCAGTGTTGCATCCTTGGTTACAGAACAAATAGGAATGAGGAGCACACAACACAAGATAAATGAACAATAACTCTATACTAAAATCAAATAAAATCTTGAACAATCTTTAACGAGCATAAAGATGCCTAAAAGTATAAAATGTCCATCTTTAGCATAATATAGAAGTAAGAATACAATATCTGTCTTTAGCATAATAGAGAAACAAGTATAACATCCTGTCTATTCTAGTGCACCCATTCCCAAAGTCAGTAACACCGCGGCTCCCTTAAAAATCTGATGGGTCTGCGCGGCCCCCCGAAGTAATAACCAAGAAGACAACGTTAAAAAAAGGCTCTTCTCGTCATTTTATTTGGGGGAAATAGCCTCTGCTACAATCATGTAAATGACACACCCCATTTTATACTACAAAAATGATTACAATTTGATTATTCAAGTCAAATGATGAACACAAATATTTTAACATTGCAAACAAAATATCATTAATATTATTAATGTATCATGCAATAATTTTTCAAGTGAAATAATGAACACAAATATTTTAATATTGAAAACAAAATATTATTAATTTTACATACAATATATATATATATATTTTTTATGACCTCTCCTCCCCTAATTTCTAGTGCAAAAATATATATGTTTGTGTTAGTAGTATGAGGGTATGGGAAAAAGTGACAAAGTAAGATCACAGTAGACACATTTGGTTCTATATTGCACATTCTGAATACACATTAGGAACAAAGAAGTGGTTGGAATACAGTACATGTATTACAGTTCATTTGTATGGGACACAATATGAAATTGTTGGATTTCTATGAATAGGGACAAATGACATAAGTACGTTTGTGAAAAGTTAGACCTCGGGGCTATAGTCCAAGACCACAATCACAGACCTGTGGGCAGGATTCAAGGTGTATTCGTCAGCTAAAAATGGCAGCTGTTTAATCTGAGTTCCTATTTTCAGATTCTTGTGGATTTTGTTTACCAGGGACAATACTCCACCCTGACATTGAAACAGAAATGTAAAACGTTTTAAATCTCTGTCAAACAGCCATAATATTGTGTCTGTCTGCTATTTCCCTAAAGATTGTACATACACATCCGACATCCCAGGTTGTTTTTTGTTGGAGGCTGTAACATGAACCTCTCTGAACCTATAAATCTGGAATATTTACATAGAAACATGATTTATCAATGTGTGCTGTCCCAATGTAAATAACAAATAGATAAACAGAAATAATGATACAAGACAAGTTCTAAAACACATGATGGTTGGTTCTAGTTCGTCCATTCATTTTATACAGTATTATCAGTGATCTTCCTTCAAGTCTCAAACTTCGTAACGCCTCGTCAGTAATGCTTTTACATAAGGAGTAATGCGCTATTGTTTTCCTGTGCAATTATAGTTAAATACTCCAGCTACGATGTTCTACATAATACAGCTATTTATCTTGATTTTTATTTTTTCTTACAGTTTAAATTGAGCCCTACTTGTATGTAGTATTTATAGCAACTCTGAAATGTCGTCTGTAACAAGTTAATTGATGTTTTTGAAATGTCACTGTGTAATTTAGCCATTGATTATTCTTATTAGTTTTTTGGATCTTACATAGACTTAAACATGCTGAAAAGAGTTTAATGACTCGGATAGTTCTATAACGACTGCAGAATGAAAATTACAATGTTTTTGATCAAACAGGTCTTTACATGTTCCTCTCGTGGCATCACTTGAGCTTTGTTTTGGTCAAATGTATAACAATCCCATATTCTGTGACATTTCGGCATCATACCAACTTATCAATTATTTGAAAGAATGATTGGCCAACTAATCAATTACAGCCATACTGAAATATCCATATTCTGGGACTACTAAAGATTTTGTTATCTTATGTTGTCTCAACCTTAAATGCTATCCTAGATATCTACAGTGCATTTCATATTTTCACTTGTTTGTTTTGTAGATGCGAATTCTGGACAAATTCCCAATTGACGGAGGGCAGAAGGATCCAAAGAAGCGGATTATTCCTTTTCTACCTGGTAATTACTTTTAAAACACTGTAACTCAAATCCTGACTAGAACCAGGAAGTGCAACCTGGCTTCATGTGTGAGAATCGACTGTAAAGCAGCTCTCCATGGCCTCGCACCAAAGTCCATCTGTGTATATATGTTTGTACCGTAGGAACCAACTCAGCCTTGGAGGAGCACAGGGACTGGCCTCCTGCTGGTGCCCAGAGTCCGGACTAAGAATGGAAAAGCTGCATTTCCGCATTTATGCAGCTAAAACCTGAAGCAGTCTTCCTGAAAATTTGAGACAGTTCTAACAATCTTCTACCCCAGTTTTAAATCAGTTCTATTTAGCTGTGCATACAACTGAAGGATTGCATCTTCACCCTTTTAATTTACAGTGATTACTAGATGATTATTGATGATTTTACCTTGTCTATCTCTTTTTATTAAGCACTTTGAATGGCCTTGGGTTTGGACTTTGCCATATCTACACAAACAAAACGTGCCTTGCCGTGTACACAGACAAGTCACATGTTGCCTGTACAGTTATAGGGACTCTCCAGCCTCGTGCACGATATCCATCCCGGTCACATTTGCTGCCGTTTCCCCGCCGGCCCTTGAGTCCACAGCCCACCACGATTCATTATGTAATTAAAGCTGCACTATCTGACTTTGGGATTTTGAAGCCGCGGACTCGCTGGCCTCTCTCTTTCTGCTCCCCTCCACGCACCCACGAAGCTATCGCCCCCCACACACACCCACTGTTGTTGACGGAGCTAGCCTCTCCCAATATGGATAATACATGGATATGGATTTTCACGTGGATGGCGTGACCATAGAGCGATAGAACCGGGAAGCTCGGAGGAACGAGACTTTCTTTTGGACGGCTGTCTCGCTGTGTAAGTAGTAAGCAGTGAGAAAGATGAGAAAGTTTCAGGTTTGCTCCGCCGCTTGTTGTGCTAACTCAGCCGTCTATGCCAGTGTCTCCCAAAGTGGGGTCCGCGGCCCCCTGGCGGGCCGCGAGGGTACTGCAGGGGGGCCGCGGGAGGTCATAAAAAAAAATATATATATATATAATTATTTAATGTTAAATTTATGTTTTGTTTGTAATATTAAAATATTTGTGTTAATTATTTGACTTGAATAATCCACTGTAATCATTTTTGTATTACAATGTTTGTAGCAGAGGCTATTTCCCCAAAATAAAATAACCAGAAGAGCCTATTCTTAATGTTGTCTTCTTGGTTATTATTTTGGGGGGCCACGCAGACCCGTCAGATTTTTAAGGGGGCCTCGGTGTTACTGAGTTTGGGAATGGCTGGTCTATGCTAACAGAAAGTGGGGGCTAGTGGTCCGCTGTGATTGGTCACAATCTGCGACCCGAAACACATTCTCTTCCTTGTTTCATCAAAACTCGATCTAAAATAAAATGTCACGCCAGCACAAATCTGCGCTACCTTTTCTTCGAAAGGACGTATATCCCAATGTACTACATGGACATGGATAGCATTTTTGTAATGAATACGAAAATAAAGTCAGTTAGTGCAGCTTTAAGTGCCATACTCTTACCGGGGCAAAACAATTAGCGGCCACCGGGGGCACACGGAGGGATCGTCTGAGGAGATCCTTTGTGTTGGAACAGCGTTTTACTGCTTGCTGGAAGCTGATGTTTTGGATCCACGTTGAAGCCCACTTCCAGGACGGACCAGAAGTCTTATCAGAGACTGGAATTCATAATGTGACAAGTGATGAAGTAGCTGCGAAAAGCTCCAGCTCTCTGTGAAGTCCCAATGATGAAAGAATTGTAATGTTAGAAAATGGTAATAAATACATGGAATAAAGATAAGAGTGAGTTGGACAAATACATATCTTTCGGCGAGTAGATTAAAGAGGTCGATATAGTGTTGAAAGGGCTGAAAAATGTGAGTTTTGAGTGGGACGCTCTGATTGAATTCTCCCGAGAGATGTTTTTGTTTTGCCTGATTATAGCATCTCAGAAAACTCACTTGGAAGAATCTCTCAAATATTTGGGAAAACAGATGCACTTGATGGATACTGTGGAAAATTCCTGAAATGACAGAACTACCACCAGAAAACATAATGCATATTTATATATTAATATCGCCAGGCAAGTTTATATGTATAGCACAATTCATATTCATACAGCACACAACACATTCAAAAATCATAAATAAATAACAGTACGTTAAAACAAGTCTGCACAGCTAAACAGTGGAATTGGAACATTGTCAGAGAAGAATCCTGTCTCATGTTTTCAGGAAGATTTTTGCGTTTCATAATTGCCTGATCAAATGTGTAAGCATGTGAATTATTTTAGCAAATTGAGTTTTGTGTTTACATTTTTCTGTTTTTTTTGTTTAGGTAAAGTTTTGTTCCGCCGCAGTCACATAAGGGATGTTGCCGTGCGGAGACTCAAGCATCTGGATAACTACTGCAAGGTATCCCCACACAAAAAACTGCATTACAAAAAAAGAATAAGGCCAGGAGTTAAAGCTGGAGTACCAATGTCTAATATTTTGGTGACGCGTGATGGTGTGACGGTCTCTTATCAGCTGTTGTTACCGGATGCGGACCGGACCCGATCTGTCAGACCGACCGCATCCGAAAACAACAGCTGATCAGAGACACCATCACCGTCACCTCGGATGAAGGCGGACGTCTACAGCCCAAATATGTGGTGATCAAGTGTTAGCACTAGCCTTTTTATAATGTTGTCTTTTATGCAACTATAGTGACAGGACCAAATGTTTTTAGAGCGAGAAAACTAGTTACATTGTGGTTTTACATCGTGTTGTTTTGAAAGTTAGGTTCCACAACCATAGATGCACCAATTCTCAATTCAATTCGATTCAACTTCATTTATAGAGCACTTTATAAATGACCAAAGTACTGAACAAGTCTAAAAAACACAATATAATATAAAAACATAGACAAGAATAAGAATTGAACAAAAAGTCTTCCCACTAAGGTAAAAGCCAAAGTAAAAAGATGCGTCTTAAGAAGTGACTCAAAAGCAGGAAGTGAATTTTGTATTCATTTTTAACTATAAAATTTTGTCACCTTGCCTTTTTATTGCTGCCTCAATCTTGTCTTGTTGTAATTGTCACATTTCATTTTGGCTAAAACTTATACTTATAAGTTATACTTATATTATACTTATAAACTTATAGATATATTGAAGATGGCACAAGATTATCCTCGCTACATGTATCGATCCTTCTATTAGAATAGTCGTAAACACAAAGCAGGCCTCACATTTATCAGAACCCCAGCCTCAACAGGAAAGGCCAACAGCTCTATCTGCACGGGTCACTTCCTGTCCCCAGTGTAAACAGCCCGAGAAGGAAACATGAGGAAAACGCTTCTCAAACGTAAAAGTCCTAGTGTGAATCAGCAAAGTGAAAATTGCCGGTTTGAGCAGGATGATAAAAACAGTGACCAGAACCCCGTCATTACCCAACGCAGCTTATTATATGTTTTTTTTTTTTAGATAAACAACAAATAGCAGCTGTCTTTTTAGGTCGGGAAAACTGCTGTGCTTTCTAACGATTAGCTTCACAACGATCATTTGTACATTTTTGTTTACGAGTAGACATTTTAGTGTTACGACATTTGTCAAAGAATAGGATTTTAGCTTTTACAATGACCACGAGTACACACATACGGCTACTGATACCATTTGTCTTGTTGTTATCCTTGAGTATTTTATGAATATTTTGTCTATTATTATTATCCAATCGACTTTATTTATATAGCACATTTCATAAATGAGCATAAGTTTCCAAAGTGCTGTACGACAAGCAAAAATGGCAACAAATAAATAAATACTCACGTGTAAAAATCCAATTAAAAACACAGAGGACCACACGACTCAAGCTGTGTTAAAAGCCAGAGAATAAAAGCGGGTTTTAAGACGAGACTTAAAACATGCGAAGGGGAGGCTATAATCGCCTACCAAAATCTGTCTTCTATGGCGAGCTCAATACAGTTAAGAGAGGCGTTGGCAGGCCAAAACTTTTTTTTCAAAGATTGCCTGAAACGCCACCTGAAAACTGGCAACATCAACAAAGACTCCGGGAGCAGCTGGCTGGTTATCGTCAACAATGGCGTACACCAACCGAAGCAGATGCAATGTCGTTGTGGAGAAATCAGTCGCTGCCGAGCTAAGCAGGCTCAATCCAACCACAAACTTAGATCCCAGCCCCCTCTCCTCACCCGTCCCAGATGTGGAAGGGCATTTTGCCACTGCATCGGCCTCCCTCCGTTCTCACAAGCGTCATTGCCGGTAGTCTTTCTCAGTACTGATTGACCGCCATTATTATTGTTACTACTGCATTACTTGAGGCCAGATGAGTCACAGTCATGAACTGACCTTTTGATTCATTTTAGTTTTGCAATTATATTTGTATTGATTTGTTACCTTTAATGTTATTTTTACCGCACGTTGGGGAGCAGCTTAATATAAAATGGTAAAAAAAATCTATACTGATAATAGCAAGAAAACAGCCACATATGAAAAAAAACAAAACAAAGATACACATACCCACACAGGTGCACACATTCATACACACACACACACACACATATACACAAACCGCTAATACACACACACACATGCATGCACACTTCAAAAACGTCTTCTACTTTTAGTCTATTTGCCACTTTTGATTTGATTATTTAGACTTGTATTGTTTTTCTCATCATTTAGTCCTGTTAGTTAGAATATTTTCACTTGTTTTTTTTTTTATATACATTTTCCTCCTTTCTTTCTGTAAATCTGATCTCATTCACAACGTCACATGTACTTGGTTTACGCACGCCACGGACGCACAGCTGTGTCCGGGGCCTGGTGTGCTTTTCCTCAGTCCAGTCTTCCTTCCCCTCCACGCCCCTCACCCCTCCTCCTCCCTCCTGCCCCTCACCCGTCCTGCCCTGCTCTTCCATCTGACCCACGGACTCTGAGCTGACTCTGACTCAGTGTCACCCAGACCGGTTACTCACTGCCCTCTTTCCTCGTGACTCTCTTGACACTCACCTCCTATTCCCACTTTTTTTTCTCCTTCGCAGGCTCTGCTCAAACTGCCAACGCACGTCTCACAGAGCGACGAGGTGCTGACATTCTTCGAGACTAAAGCCGAAGACCTGAACCCACCTGCAGAGTGAGTCAAACTATTCAAAGCGAATAAGGTCTAAAAGTTTTAAAACAAAAGTTGATTAGTCCAAATAAAGGGGGGAAAGTGGAAAAATCCAAACTGCCAACTTGTGTCAAACAATACTTCTTTCTGTTCTTTTGAGAAGGGTTTCCAGGCCAATCGGAAAAAATGTGGAATTCTAAGCTTTTCTAAATTAGTTTCAGCTTTAAAAAATGTCTGGAGTTTTCGTTTGAGATTACGATAATAAAGTGCAGGTTTGCAGAGTATGGTGTGTTTTTAGTCAAATGGATTAAAACAATAAAAATTAAGATTGTGTTAAACCTTTAATGTTAACTCCTTGAAGAAAGCAATGCATATTTTTTGTTTTTTTCGAAGATGTAGGAGCACTGATAACACAAATACTTTTTTTTGTTTTTATGTTTTTTTCTTTCTGAACCCCTAGTTTTTTTTAGTTTTAGGCCTTTACCAAAAGGGCGAGATGCAGTTTGATGGTAAAAGTGCCTAAAACCAAGTGATAGAGATTCCCAAAAATATGTAGATTTCAGTTCCAAGCTTCAAATAGATTTAGTGACTCAAAAGGTGATCCACCAAATGTTTGAGAAAACCATTACAGGGTTAAGGTAAGGTATACTTTTCTGTTCCTGTAGGAAATGTGACAATCCCTCACTGTCACTGTTAAGAAGCAGTGGTCAGGGCGTTAAGAACCTCTCGGTCAGGAGGTTGTGTCAGTGTCTCCGTGGGGATGTTGCTATCTATGCCCACTTCCCAACTTTTCTTAACCCTTTAGTGCCAACAAGCCAAATAATCTCCCGAGTCCAGGACACTTTCTGTTCCCACAAACTTTCCCCTATATTTTCCTCACATCTTTTTCTTGTATTTATTTCTGTTATTGATTTTTTTTTAGCAGTTCTGTCTCTCATAAAGTTTGAGGACTCCATGTTTGTGTCTGTTTCACAAAAACTCTCACCCCTGGCTCTGACTCAGTTACTTCTGCAATGTTTTAACTTCACGTTGACAACATACATTTGATTTAATTATCCAATGAAGGGGGCTGAGTTTATAAGTAATTCTTACGTCTTTCTATGCGTCTTTTGAGCTCTGTATAGTATTTGAATAAACATGCATGTATTTTTTTGTGTATTGTTCTCAGCGAAAGTAAACGGTCTGAACAGAACTGAACTGGACCCTAAATGGGTTAAATAACACCAATACCTGGCAGGCGTTTAACAAAGAGTGTTATGTTGTAGTGAAATAATTGCATCATTAAACCGTTAAGAAAATAGCTAATATACAAATTACATATTGTACTCTTTGGAATGATCTTATCGATAATGACCATTCATGCCTATCGCCATGGCGCCTGATCCGTGAGCTCCGGACACGCCTCTCTCCATCAGCTCAGTTTAATGTAACCGGTTCTGTCCCAGGTGCACCTATGGGAAGTCAGTGCTGTTCAGCCATCTGCAACCTCTGCCTCTTTCCCTCTCTCTCCCGTCTCTTTCTCCCCTGCCTCTCTCTCACTCTGTCTCTCTCCTCTCTCTCTCTCTCTCTTTCTTTCTCCCGTCTCTCTCTCCCCTGCCTCTCTCTCTCCTGTTGCTCTCTGCTGTGTCTCTGTCTCTCTTTCCTGTGTTTCCATCTGTCTCTATGTCTCTCTCTTTCCTATCTCTCTCTGTCTCTCTCTGTCTCTCCCTCCCGTCTCTCTCTCCTTTCTCTCTCTATTTGCTGTGTCTCTGTCTCTTTCCTGTGTTTCCATCTGTCTCTGTGTCTCTCTCTCTCTTTCCTGTATCTCTCTCCCTGTCTCTCCCCCCCTCTCCTCTCTGATGTGTCTCTTTCCTGTCTCTTTCTCTCCTGTGTCTCTCACTTTCCTGCGTTTCCATCTCTATCTTGTGTGTGTCTCTCTATCTCCATCTTTCTTTCGGTCTCTCTGCGCTCTCTCTCTCTCTCTCTCTCTCTCCCTATCTCTGTTTCTCTCTCTCCCTCTCTGTCTCTCTCTGTCTCTGTTTCTTTCTGTGGTATGATTGATGGATATTCCTGGAGAGGCAGTGTGTTTTATTAATAATGATTTGAGAGCGCTGACACCTGATCCCAGAACTAATGCGTGGGGCTCAGCGCTGTCACAAGAGTCTGCATGAGTTCAAGTGTCCGGGCAGGAGAGGGTCAGACCAGTCGTTTGTCACACACTTCAAAGTCTGAGTGCAGGGGAGGGACGGGAACCACCACATTATTGTTTAACTCCAGGTTTACTCTACGCTCCAGCGCACATATCAAACAGATTCAAGAGTATTTAGTACAAGTAGTTTACAGACTATAGTTAAAGGTGGTCTCATGCATTGCAAAAAGTACAGAATAAGTAAAAAATGTCTCAATATTTGCCAATGGAACAAGCAAAATTATCTTTTTTTTTAAGACATCTCCCTTGGAATGAGAACATAAAGCAACAGTTGATCTTGAAATAAGACTAAATGGCATTTTCCCATTTAAAAATCTTGTTTTAAGACAGTCACAATGCATAAATTAAGAAAAAAAAATCCACTTGATTCCAGCATTTATCACATATTTTATCTAGTAAGTATGAGAGTGGTATTGTATCAAGCATATTTCTGTACCAGAGAATTGTAAGATAGCAATGTTATTACCTTGACATGGCACTTCGGTGGTTTGCTGTTGAAATGTTTTTTTTAAATAATGGGTACAATTTTCAGTCAAGTCAATTAATTTGTGTATAGCCGTAAATCACAACAGCAGTCATCTTGGAGGACAAAGTTGTCGATTCGCCAACAACAGATCAGAGAATCAAGCAATTCAAACACAGGAAATGCAATGATGGGAGCTGTTAGTCCATTGAGAGCGGGATGACCAATGTTGAAAAATCTGCCTAAATGTTACGGATCATCACTGCTCTTTGACCCTTCTCCATCAGCAAGGCACGACTCGCAAAACCCAGTGAAAAAATTTGATATCTTGTTTTTAATTACTTGTTAAATTATGAGTCTATTCCAGCCTTTTGGTCGAAACAGCAATGACACAGCTCGACTAAAGAGAAACATATAGCTCTATATATTAGTTGGTCAAATATTGGACCCCTCTATTACAAATACATTACTAAAAAACTGCTGTTCATACTTTATGTCTGTGGCATTGTCAGTTAGAGTGATGTTGTTTTTGATTGTTTTACAGTATATGCTATCGTTCAGCAACAGGAGATTTTACGCATGACTGCTGCAACCTACCAACATGGTCTTACACTGCAAAAAGTGATGAAAAATAGGTCAAAAATGGCTCAAATTTGGCAAAATGTGTCTTAAACTGAGCAGCTTTTGACTGCCTTAAAACATGATTTGCCAATGGAACAAGCAAAATTATCTTGTTTCAAAAATATATACTTTTAGGACTAAATGGATTTGTCCCATTTGTTTTTTTTTTAGACAATCAGGATGTACAGTATGCATCATAATGTAAAAACCACTCGATTCAAGCATTTATTACCTTATTTTTAATCATTTTTGCAGTGTACCCGTAATGCATTTGAATGAGAATGAGGATTAAACCAAAAGAGCAGCTTGTTACTTCACAACATGATTTTGCACATTGTTAAAGACTTATTTCCCTCAACACAAAGACAAATGTAGTGGGATAACCTTTGGCAGCAGTGGCCTGGCTGTCTGGCTCCCTGCACATATACAAGTTAATCCCACTTCAAAAGCGGATCCTCCTCAAGTCTCCCAGTGCAGCCACTCTGACACTCTGAGGTCTCTGGGCCGTGCCACCCAAGTACTCACCCACACTCACTCCCCTTCACTCCCCCTCAGCATGCAAACAACAGAGACTTTCAGGGACTGTTCTGCCTTCAGGCCACATAAGTACATCATGGAAGATACAATTGACTCTTATTTATTGTCGGTGCGCTCCCAGGCTGTAAGAGCAGTGAGGGCAAAAGGCTAATATAGAGAGAGAGAGCTCATGGGAGACTCAAGAATCTATACAGGAATAGAATAAAGACTGACTACATAACGCTTTTGTCATGATCTGCTGCCATCTAACGTCCAAAGGATGCAAGTGCACTGTCAGAAAATGACTTGCTGTTTGTGATTTCGACACAAGAGGGAGCCAGGTCGGTTCAAACGGTTGAGAAATGAAGTTACAAAAGGCAGTAGAAATTCAGCCCACGACAGGGAGAGTTCAAAAAGATCAAAAATAAAATTAAAATAACTAAAAACATATATGGACAGTGGTGATCCCAATTCATATTGGCCACTGGCTCCTCTGTGTTTGTCATTATTGCATTTCCTATGTTCCAACTGTTTGATTCTCTGATCTGGTGTCGGTGAATCAACAACTCTGTACAGTCCTCAGAGACAACTCTGATTTAGGGCTATACCAAAGCACATTGAATTGAAACTGTACTAGAAACTGCACTACAATCTGCAATACATTTTAGTGCGAGAATATTGAAGCATTAGAAGAATAAGTATTAAGATGTACTCCCCACAAGAATAGATACATTTGATGGTATCCCGTTTAGCAATAAGAAAAACACCAAATTCAAAATAGGTTGAAGAGTGAAGTATATTTACTGGAGAAAAGTCTTAGACCTCAAGGTGACATACAGTACCGGTACATGTATATATTCAGCCGTGACTATTTTTGTGGCTTGCCTTTTGAAAATGCATGTTCACATATTTATTTTCATGCATATAATGAATCTTTGCACAAACCTTCAGCTGTTGTTGTTTAGTCCTACAACACAAAATTCTCTCACAGGACATTTTTTGGACAAGGTGAGTGTTGCCTAATGACAGAATGATAGAGCTGCAGGCTCCCCACTGATCAAACCACTCATTAATCTCCTATAAAAAACAACTTCAATCAAACACCACTCTGCAGGCGTCAGAAATTATTACATTTCCAATATGCTTTTACATAATTTATGAGTCATTATGTTCGGGGACTTTTCAAAACAGAGTGGAACGCTTGAGTCGTGGAATTTGAATAATTGCGTTGACCTT